ACAATGCAGTAAGTTATGTTCAGTTAAAAAGAGATGGCAACATATGTACCATTAGAGCCAAAATTACCCCTGAACACAAAATTCACAAGAAACCATATAATGTTGAAGTGAAAATTAATGAAGAGGATGAGAAAATTCTCAGTTCTGCATGTACTGACTGTGCAGCTTCCTCAGGTAATTATTAAAGTTAATTTACCTGGTATTTGGTAAGAGTAATAAATAACTGTTGTGTTAAACAAGATGAAACATTAAACTATAATATTTTGAATTTATGTATGTAAGTGATAGATATACTTCTACTTATTCAACGAAGACTGTAGTAAGTCAATTGAGAAAGTCAGTGTTTAATATTCATTTATTTAATTTTTGCTTTCTATGCTCCACCTAAACATTTTCGATCTAATAAATTAATAAAAAAACCAAAAAAGATTGACATCTGTGTGCACGTAGTTTAGATTCAAAAGGAAAGACTTGTATTTCATGCAAAACTTTTTAATTAATAAATGCAAAGCGCTTTCGGCATTGTGCCATCATTAGTGCTTATTGTCCACAAACATATCCACCAAGTTCTTAGTCATCCTCGCTCCCAAAATTAAATGAAATGAAATGAAATAAAAATGAATGTATAAAACAATTTAAATTTGAAAATATTGCTAATAGTAATAATTATGATTTAGCAATTTGTGAATATCCAGAAATATCTAATTTTGGGAGCGAGGATGACTAAGAACTTGGTGGATATGTTTGTGGACAATAAGCACTGATCATGGCACAATGCCAAAAGTGCTTTGCATTTATTAATTAAAAAGTTTTGCACCAAATACAAGTCTTTCCTTTTGAATAATAAATTAATATTTGACACTGATTTTCTCAATTTGAGCAAAATTGACTTTTATATTTAAAAATGAAATGCTTAATATTTTAGTTTTATTTTAATATAATTTTTAGGTGGGTGCAAACATTCAGTGGCATTTTTGTTTTGGCTCCATCGTCGTAGTGAAGAACCTAGTGTCACCTCAGTTGAATGCTATTGGAAAGCATCGAAATTATCCAAAGTAGGAACAGTTGAAAAGTTTCTATCTGCAAAGGATATGGCTAATGCAAAACCACTTTTAAAAGAAAAAAATTCAGAAGTTAGGGAACGCTTTATAAAATATATAGACAAAGCTTCAGGTGGAATTTTTGATTTTTATTATGAGTCTGAATTGTCAAAATTCAACATACATCATTTAATTATGAAGTATAAGAGTGAGCAAACTACATATTCAGCAGAAGATTTTTTTCAATTTGCCAGTGCTAATATGGGAGCTAATTGTGCAGTTGTCGAAGAACAGACAAAAGAACAGTCAAATTGTCCCAATTGGTACCATTTACGCTTTGGTCGAATAACTGCATCCAAAATTTATGAAGCTGCTAAATGTAAAACAAGAGAAGGAAGTCTTCTGGAAAATATAATGGGTGCAACAAAGGCTTTTGAAACCTATGCTGTTTCAAGAGGGAAACGATTGGAACCCTTAGTTTTAAAACAAGTTGAAATAGCAAAAAAAATTAATATTAAAAAAGTAGGCTTGCTTTTGTCCAATCGGTATCCGGTTTTAGGAGCATCCCCAGATGGCATAACTGAAGAATTTTGTGTGGAAGTGAAATGCCCAAGCAAAGAAAAAACTGTGGAAAACTACATAAAAAATAATGAAATAGTAAAAAAATATTATTATCAATTGCAAATGCAATGTTTTTTTTCTAATAAAGATAAAGGTCTCTTTTGTGTAGCTTCTCCAGATTTTGAAAATGACAAAGTTGTAAATATATTTGAAATCTCATTAAATAAGGAAGAAATTGAAAATATAATAGACTTGGCTTTAACTTATTGGAGAGATAATGTTTTTAATTGTTTAATTAATTTATAATTTGTAATATTGAAGGTCAATAAAATATATAGGATATTTCGTACCTACACCGCCAAACTTTAAGATGTGGCAGAGAACATCAATTTGTTTTTTTGCTTTATAAACATAAGGTTTAAAAAATCACTTTTTAATCAATATGTTAAGTACGTTTTAACAGATTTGCAGTTTGCTGATATCTTAGTTATGTATCTTTGGACCTATTAGCATGTATCTAAAATTTCCGTAAATCTATAATTTTTTTCTGAAAAAGAACATCCTGCAAACTTTTTAAAATTTTTATTAAACTAAAAATATCAACTTGTTTGTCCCTTGATTTTTCCTGTCTCGGTTCCTTTTTAAGTTGTATTTTTAGCTACTTGGGAGACATTCAAAAGTTGGTGTTTTTTTTTTTTAACTAAATGAGAATAATATCAAGACACAAAAAAGTGTTACTTTTAATGGCCTTATTCAAAACAATGATAAAAATATCAATGTGTCGTTGTTTTTGTGTAAAATTCCCTTTTTCGAAAATGAAGCGTTTTAGTAAAATGATTATTTAGAAAAAAAAAATTTTTGATGTTTCATACCACCCCTTAATGTTTGGCAGTATAGTTATGAAACGCCCTGTATAATAAAACAAAAATAAACTTGTATTATTTTATTAATGGTCCTTGAGTATTTACAATAGCACATACAATTATAATTATTTCATCTATTATACTAAGATAATTTAAATCTAATCTAGAATGAATATCTACCATTTTAAATTCTCTAATTCTTTTGATAATGCGTTCTATATGAATTCGAAGTGCTGCTATTTGTTTGGCCCTCCTCACCTCTGTTGGCGTCAACTTAGTGCCTTCTGAGACACTTGGTGGTCTAACTAACTTACAATTCGTTCTATTTAATAGTTCGTCAATATTTTTAAAACCCCTATCAGCCATGATGTCACAATTTTCAATTTTATTTACAAAACCACTGACATTAACCAAATTGGTATCTGTTATACGACCACCATACCCTTTAGATATGAAATTTATAAAACCATTTGGTGTGCCACTTATTAAATATTTAATGGTGTTACATTTCTTGTATTCTGACCATGATTGACTTTGGTGAATAGGGTTAGATGGTTTTTGAATTTCTATCTCAAAGCAATCTATAATGAATTTAACATTACTATACCTATATATAAATGGGATAGGCAATAACAATTTTATTTGTTGATGAGTTGGAAAAAAAATAAAATTTTGAAGCACGTTGGCAATTTTTGGCACACCATTTCTAAATATTTGCTGAATTCTGGTATCACTCAGACCAAAATCCAGAGCTAATCTAAAATATACATCATTTAAATGTATTTTTTTTAGACATACAAGAACATCTCTGTATGTTATTGTCTCAATTTCGGTAATAAATTTGGTGAGATTATATACATAATTTGGTAAACCTAAATAAAATTTTGAATTTTTTTCTATAATATAAAATGTTGTTTGTCTTCGTTTGTCCATCATCATTATATTTTCTTCTTTTAATAAATCTTCATCTGAAGAAGAAGACATTTCTGTGGGGATAGTTGAAGAAGAACTACTAGTAACCACTTCGCTCAAATGGCTGACTGATGGTTTAATCATTTTAGATGGACCAGCAACACTGATTTCCTCAATTTTTCTTTTAATAGGCTCTCTTTGTTGTTCTACTATTGGTCCAAGATTTTGTCGTGGAACACCTACCTCGACTTTTCGTTTAGTAGACCCGTCTTGCGGTTGCACTAAAGGCCCAAGATGTTGGTGTGGAATTACTCCCTCTCGCAATTGACAACGTGTTCCACCTACAAGCTGGAGTTCCCTGTAGTTAATTATATCATTCGGACCCTAAAAAAAAAACATTTTTAAATAAAAAAAAGTAAATATTAACAAAAAGAGAGAAGAGCACTTGTTTTTTTTAATTGTAGTAAGGTAATGTAATTATTAATTTGATACAAAGTTCACAAACCAAAATTAATGAACACTGGATGAAGTCCTGTAAATGTAGTCTCATTTTTGTAACAATATTTTTAGCCCAATGATGCCTATTTAGACCAAACTAGTAGTTACTACAAATTTTAATAAGTGACATGAGTTTAGTTTTATCTTTGTTATTACTTGAGCCATTGTGAGAATGGATAATGTATACAAATTTCATATTGCCATTTTTAGTTAAAAAAAATATCAAACTCAAAAAGTAATAAAAGTACATACATCAAAATGATTTTCACAGCAATGATAGCGTCCTCCTCCTTTAGGAACATTTTCTTTTCCAACAGCTGCAAACCATAGCTTTCGTTTTCCCCAATCTCTTGGAATCGATAAGAAAATCTTGTTGCAGTTTGATGATTTGTTTTTGCAATTTGGTACAAAACAAATCTTTTCCATTTTAATAACTGAAACATAATTTAGGTATGTTAATTCTTTATGTTTACCAACATTTTTTTTATTATTTAACTTGAATTAGTTTTGACATATATATAAAAATATCTAGCACTGCATTCAAAGTTTTAGGAAATTATGTATTTTATTTTCAAACAGAAATAGTCTTATTTAATACATACCAGATATTTTTCCACACAGCGCGTACTTAATAATATAAAATACTTATAACTAATATTGTCCAAACCAAATAAAACACCTAATAAATGAAATATGAAACACAAAATACAGTAAAAAAAGTAAAAGTAAACAGAACAGAGACCAAGCGTCAACAAAATGTTACTGAGGTTAGTAAGGTTAACTGGTTAACGTCATATGTCAAAATAAATTCAAAAGAACAAAGCGTTATATGAAGATATTCATACAACGAACAAAGCTATAATCTTGGCAACACTGTAGAGAGTAAAACAGTAATTATTGGTTAAGAAGCGGCGCCACTTTCAAAATCTATTAATTACTTATTGTCGATTTTTGTTATTTAATGAATTTTATAAAAAAAATTAAAATTAACATAAGCGACTAGGTCCCTTAAAGTAACTATTCATTAACACAAAACCAGGAAATTCGTTCCTACTGGATGAGTCCATTGTGATACATTGTTCCTTTCTGCCTTTTTTGGTCTTTTAGCAGAAATGGCCCAGCGTAATCAAGATGATGATAATTGACTTCGATCCGTAAAAATATAAGTAGGGTAATTATTGCGATATAAGATTTCTCCAGCTAAACGAAAACGTGTCCTCTTACCTTGAGAGCAATCCTGTCCGGTCCAGTGTCTGTTACATACACACTTCGCCGCCTCCAAATCGTACACTCCATGATCGGAGCACGTGGGCAAACACTTGTGAACCTGCTCGTCGATAATATCACAGTGTGCTCCTTTCCAACCGGCCTTACAGTAACATTGACCGTGGACACACGCACCATGTTCCGAACATGTGGGATCTTCACAATCGGACTCTTCGCAACCTTCACCTGAAATTAAAAAAATTGAGAATAATTTACTGAAGATTAAAAAATTATGCTATATCATATTCGGGATCGAACCAACTGTAATTCTGCAACATTGGAAATATAGAAATATAGCTATAATAAGACTTTGTTGGCATTTTAATACTAAGCACATTAACGATGAATAGTTAGTAATGTAGGGAAAGTTAATACAATAAAATCTTATACACTTTCTTTGAAAGTAAAAGATGTAAAAAATAGTTTACATTCCTCACTATCTATTTGACCATTAGGAATTTGCATTCCTGCTAATTTTTTTTAACGTAAAATGGGAAGCAGCTGACCTCTGGGGTAAATTAAAAAAAAAATTATAATTTTAAAATATAAGGTTCATCTTTTATAATTGCAGTAATTGTTAAAACGATCTATTTTATGTTACTGGTTCAATAAAATTAAACATTATGTAATTGGTTACAAAATAGCTATTTGGGAAATCAGTTAAGAAATGTCTTTTAATAAAAATTTATTGACATTAAGGCAATCAATATTACTACTTTCTTGTAATGATTAACTTCATACTGTTATATAAATAGAAAATGATATTTATTTATTTTCAACGACTGTGTTTATATTGCTTAGTAAAGTAATTTGTATTTCAAAAAAGTAGGTTATTTTGTCGTTAATAATTTTGTGCTGATTTAGAATGGAAACTAAGAACCAACACATTATTACTAGGCTGTAAGTTTAACCAAATTCTATTTATATAAGTCAACCTGCCCTTTATTGATATAAAATTTCAATAATAATGCATTTTATTGATTTTAAAATCAAAAAAGGTTTATTTTTTATTTGTTTTCTTTTCGCAACTGGTAACATAATTAATTTTTCAAAACTAGTTTCATATTGTTCAGCATTGCGCAATTGATTACGTAAAGTGGATCATTTTGCTGCGATTACAAAAAATGTCACTTTATATGTCAAAATTAGAAAAAGTACATTGGATTACCATTTGTAAAATGAAAACAAATTAAATAAACATTTTTATTTTAAAATCAATACTAGGTATATTGGTTTGCAAAGTTTATATCGAAAGAAGGAAGGTTAGCTATATAAACATTTAAAATTAGTAATAATTCTGATTCCGTTGCTTTTTATTTCATTCTAAGACTTTACAGAATAATGAAAATATTGTTTCAATCAATACACGACACTAACATGACTGTATGGAGAAAAAAACTAAAAGTACCCCTATCAATGTATGCAAAATAACCCACTTTTTTGAAAACGAACAAGATTTGTAAAAAAAAATAAAGTTTGAATATAAATAGTGATCCATAAAAAAAGGTTTTGAAGTAGGCATTGGAAAAATTTACGTATGTCGAAGCATACAAATTTTTTTTATTTTAAGTGTCAGCTTGGATTTAATCCAGGCCCTGTCTAGTAATCTTGGGCATAACTTCTATTTTTGTTTTTGTCGTTCATAGCCTACTTTAGAAATATTTTTTGTTAATATTTATTTTCAAATACTTGCACTTCGCTTCGCTCATCCCGCAAATTCACTCGATACCCAAAACAATGAATTTCGTAACTAGTTTCATAAATATATAAATATACATTATTGTTGTTTATTTATTTTATTTGTTTTTTCATGTTTCAATTATCCAGAAATTAATTTCATAAAAAACTACACTTCCCCTGGAAACTAACGCACCACCAAAAAGTAGTCAAAGGTTTAAGATACATTTGAGCAAGATCACGTCAAGTGGACCCCCTATTTTCCACTTGATCATAAAAATTAAGTTCATTTATTGTTTTTATAAGTAGTTGCCATGAAAAATTAATCCCCCAAATAATTTTTCAAAATTTTGAATTTAACAGTAATTTTTTTAATAATGAAAATTTTGAGTACTTTTAATTAAAAAATGGATTTTAAATCAACCGTTAAAGTTGAATTAATGAAATTTTCAGGATTTATTGTTAAATATCTATGTTTTGATAATACATTAATAACTTAAAATTATTTGTTTATTATCATATTGTTAATTAACTTTTAAATAAACAAATTTTTCATGGCAACTACTTATAAAAACAATAAATGAACTTAATTTTTATGATCAAGTGGAAAATAGGGGGTCCACTTGACGTGATCTTGCTCATTTGTCAAAACCACTTGTCCAATTCGGACGGTTTTTTTAATAACATGTTGTCTCTTCTAAACGTTGGTGTTCAAACTGTATTCGCAAAAAACCTCTTTTTATAAATACCAAGTAGCAAGTATATCGTGATTTTTTTATAAAATGTGTAACATTTTGTAAAGTTTAATATTTTCATTATCATCTTCTATAATTTTTATTTTATCTTTTAAGTTACACGAGAAACACCATTTTATAGCAGTACATGCAAGAGAATTGTGCATATGAGAGAATTTAAGAAGAAAGAAAAAATAAACCATCTTAATCAGATAGCCAAGCAGCCTTAAATGCCCATGGTTCACATAGAATCAAGTTAAAGCTGGTCTGGAACTGCCTTGGAATACTAAATGATCTGGCAACCCACATAAAGGTATCCAAAGAAATGAAAAAGCTGTATTTGGGATAAGCAGAACTTCTGCGGATAACCACAAAACACCAAACTCACTAGTAACAGATAAGAGGGCACATAATCAGTAAGCTCATGCTAAGAGGACCAAACTTGCGTATGGCTCTGAGGTGAAACAGATCACAAGGCTCCAGTTATCCACGTTTTGTTTCTATTTTTGTTTTTTGTTTTTTTTTTTGTTTTTTTTTGTTTTTTTTTTTGTTTTTTTTTTGTTTTTTTTTTGTTAAAACGAATTTAACCGAAGGAAGCTTTTATTTAATATCTTAAAACTATTATAATTTGCTTAAAAAATGTTAGGCTTTAAGTTAAAAAATATTTTGTATTTTCTTTTATAAATATTATGTCAGTAACCTAACTTGCTAATATTTTGATTTCTAATAAGTTTACAATTAAAAGTTTTATGAAAAATATAAGTTATTATAACATACGTTACATCTAAATTTTTAAACATAGTAAATAATTTCAATTTGGTGAAAAATATTTTTTAATCACACTTTGAAGTTACTGTGTTCATTAAAATTAAATATTTGCTAACGTTTTTCTGGAAAACATTTATGAAATTAGATAAAGAATGTCTATAAAATATCGCCTTACTCTAAAACTGATTATTTGAAATTTACCCAAAATAACTCATGTATATATTTTTTTAATTAGTACACCCTGCATATCTTTTTTGAAGTTTTCTTACTCTATTAAAGTTAGAATACGAGTACAATCATTAACAACATGAATAGTGCTAAATTTATTAGTTGCAAAGTTATGGCAAATTGGTGCACCCGATATTTTTGTAGTTGACTTAACTTGATTTATTTCATAAGAATGTTATTTAAAATTGAAAAATCAACAAAATCAAAAATCGAAAAATCGAAAAAATCGAAAAATCGAAAAATCGAAAAATCGAAAAATCGAAAAATCGAAAAATCGAAAAATCGAAAAATCGAAAAATCGAAAAATCGAAAAATCGAAAAATCGAAAAATCGAAAAATCGAAAAATCGAAAAATCGAAAAATCGAAAAATCGAAAAATCGAAAAATCGAAAAATCGAAAAATCGAAAAATCGAAAAATCGAAAAATCGAAAACTCGAAAAATCGAAAAATCGAATAATCGAAAAATCGAAAAATCGAAAAATCGAAAAATCGAAAAGTCGAAAAATCGAAAAATCGAAAAATCGAAAAATCGAAAAATCGAAAAATCGAAAAATCGAAAAATCGAAAAATCGAAAAATCGAAAAATCGAAAAATCGAAAAATCGAAAAATCGAAAAATCGAAAAATCGAAAAATCGAAAAATCGAAAAATCGAAAAATCGAAAAATCGAAAAATCGAAAAATCGAAAAATCGAAAAATCGAAAAATCGAAAAATCGAAAAGTCGAAAAATCGAAAAATCGAAAAATCGAAAAATCGAATAATCGAAAAATCGAAAAATCGAAAAATCGAAAATCGAAAAATCGAAAAATCGAAAAATCGAAAAATCGAAAAATCGAAAAATCGAAAAATCGAAAAATCGAAAAATCGAAAAATCGAAAAATCGAAAAATCGAAAAATCGAAAAATCGAAAAAACGAATAATCGAAAAATCGAAAAATCGAAAAATCGAAAAATCAAAAAATCGAAAAATCGAAAAATCGATAAATCGAAAAATCGGAACTTCTCATTTATTCAATAAAAGAAAAAAATTTGTATTCTTATCGGTCACCACGCTCAAAAAATGTAACTTGAATTAATATTAAAGAAAAAAAATACTGCATAAATAAAATAATTAAATAATTATAATTGCATAAGTTGATAAAAAATACTATGCAATAGCTTTACCGCGGCAGTCTTCGAGTGCCACACACATTTTTTTTACAGATACCTCTGTATCGCTTCTTACTTTAGTAATTCGCATTCCGTATATTGTGCAAGTAAATGTGGTTCTGAGATGTCAAATTTAGAATATTTTTGTAGATTTCTAACAAACTTTGATTAAAGGAGCCTGCAACAATCACGAGGTCCGGCTCCGGCAAGCATGCTTACAGCTTTTTCTGCTGCAAAAAAGCTCGAACTACATGGTAAGAATTTCCTCATTTATAGGTACCGTAACTAATGTGGCTATAAAGTCTTCTAAGTAGAAAGATTTCGTCTCGAAAGAGTTATACAAAGATTTGAAACATATTTAGACCACTTTAAAGAGTCATCAATTGAAATTCCAAGTAAATTTACCGAGTTACTTTTTAATATTGAACAATTAGTTGAAAATTAAAATTTTTGAGTTTTGGTTTCGTTAAGTTTCAGTTGATTTTAATCAGTCTGATTTTAATTTTGAAGCCTCATTTGGCCATTATGTATATAATGTAAATTGTTTGTTTAATTTTTTTTTCAGAATCCCTATAAGTTGCGTTATTTAAGTGAAATGCTTAGGAATATCACCGGGGCAAATAGTACTAAAATTTGCAACAAAATGTTGAAAAAAGATCAGTAAAGTGTAATATCTAACTGTTAAATTCTACGAAGTATTAAAAATTTATGAACCAAAAAAAATCGGACACAAGTGGTTTTGACAGAAATGTATCTTAAACTTATGGCAACTTTTTGGTGGTGTATTATTTACTGAGGCTTATTCCCGAATATAGGTAAAGAAAAATGGCTAGAAATGAATTTCTTTGAAATTTTTAGCATGGAAAATTAAGAAAAAGTTCATTTTTGTTATTATATTCGATAAACCGG